AAAAAAAAAAAAAAGTCTTCGCGATTTTGTTCCCAATCTTTTCCCCAAAGTTTCACCTCCACATATGCAGTGGATTGATTCTTCAACCCATAAATCGAGTTCACCAAAGGCTTAAGGGATTGATTTCGACTCCTAATCAAGAACCCTAAAATCACGAAGCAATAGAAAAAAATAAATGGAGGTAAATTTCTTCTCTGCGTTTTTGTGTTTGTATAATTGGCAAAAATGTGCCGCAGCAGAAGGGCCCTTCAAAAATTCAACAAATTCCCAAAGTCTTCATCACAACACTTCTTTTCATGTCATAAAATCCACATGAATTCCTCAAACAATGGTAGAAGGGCCGCGGCAGAAGAAAGATACATACCTAGGGTTTTGTTGCTCAAACAATTTAGGGATCTTGATCTAGAGTTGAAATGAAATCCTCAAGCAAAACCGGTGTAAAGGAGGCGAGGTTCTTCCTGACACGCGCCGTCGCCTCGCGGGCGGATCTCGGGAGGCCGAAGCCGCGGCGGTCGAGCATCTCGCGCCAGGGGCGGCGGGTGCCGAGTCCGGCCTTGATGCGGTCCTTGGTGCGCGAGATGTACTCGAGGTTGGCTGCCACGCCGGAGGGGGAGGAGGACGTCGGGATGGTGCCGTACGTCGTCATTTTTCGGCGGCGGAGATGAGGAATTTAGGCGCGGGCTTGAAAGGGAGATTTTTTTGATTGAATTGAACTTATAACTGGAAATTGAGAAGAAAAGGAGGGCAGTGTAAAGGAGGGACCTTTGCTTAATTGCAGGAAAAATCCTGACATGGAGTCCTTGGTGTCATATGACGTGGCATTAGTTATGTCACGTCACAAAATCGGTGCCACATCAATTTATCGACACGCCATGTCAGTGTTATCTGACCAGAATGTTATTTCGAGACATAATTGCAAAAATTAATAAAAATTTAGTATTTTTTTGTCAAATTAAAAGATGAAGTTTTATTTACAATTTAAGCAAAAGTCAGAATTTTTCCTGCAATTAAGACTAAAATAAATTCATACTCATGAGAGTTAGTGTATTTACAAGTAAAAATAAAATAAATAAAGAAGTACAATGAATTGCCGACAAATAAATGAAGTAGGGAAAGACGCCAGTTTATCCTAAACAATAATCTTAAATAATTATTGGGCTACATATTATTTGTAGCTACAAACTAGTCTAAACTAATTGGCCCAATTCACGTAATAAATAAGTAAATTACACCTCGATGCCTAATAGCATCAACAGAATGAGTTGATAATAGACGCGTCTCCTTCAGCCCTAAAATCTACTTCAACATCACATCGTCCTCCTGGGATATTATGACCATTGAATTTTCAAGATAAGCGTAGCTCATAAATTTTTTTTCTTAATTAATCTAACACAATCTTACATTGAAGGACTGTATCTCGTGTGGCAGTAGGAATTGCAAGTCTCCGTGCTTATAGGCTTCAAGTTTCAGGTTTTTCTCTCTTGCCCTTTTCGACTTCTTAGCTACATTAGCTGCTAAATAAATGTTGTACTGTTAATTGTATTTCTCAACTTTTTCCTATTTGTCCCATCAAACAATAGTCTGAATCATGGTACCTTCTGAATTTGCAGTTGTGAAAAATTCGGATGACGTCAATCGATCTGCTCAGCAGCTTGCCGGATGACGTCATATTCCACATTCTCTCTTTCCTCCCGACAAAGCTCTCAGTGGCGACCAGTGTTCTCGGAAAAAGATGGAGGTTTCTATGGGCTCATGTACCCTGTTTTGAATTCAATGGATACGATTTCAGGGAAGAAGGAACACAAGCCTCGGACATCATCCACACGGTTATATCATAGCACAAGGCAAAAAGAATGGATACTTTAGCACTCTATCGCATCAAATGCAACGAGCGTCAACTGGAGACATGGATTACAACCGCCATCGACCGTAGTATCCGGAATCTTTATCTTAAACGTAACTTCGTTTCATTCCCTCGATCCTTATTCAACTGCAAAACCATTGTCAAGTTGAAGCTTGATTTCTGTGGAGCGCCACTCTCTGCTGTGGACAGTGTCTCATTGCCTAGCCTCAAGAAGTTTCATGTTTCTAATGTTGTGTGCGAGAATGATGAAGCCCTCCCTCACTTTCTTTCCGGCTGTCCATCGCTCGAGGTGTTGAATATGGCAGTCATATATGAGGTTTATGATTATGTGGGCTGCATAAATATATCATCACCCACAATAAAGAAGCTTAAGCTGGATCTTGACGATTTGCCTTATTCATCGAACCTTAAATATAGGATGATAGTAAATGCTCCGGCCCTTAGGTATCTCCAAGTGGATGGCTATTTCTTGGAGTGTATAACAAATCCTACAACCATGATCTCCTTAGTTGAGGCGGATATCAACTTACAAAATTGGTTCTCAAATTGCGAAACGGATTACAATTCCACTTCCAAAGTGGTGAAGTTTCTTCATTCTCTGTCTTATGTAAAGTGCCTAAAGATATCAGGATGGGATTTTGTGGAGGTATGTTTTCATTCCTCGATCACTTAGTCCTCGTGTCAATAAGTTTTCGGCTTTGTTCTTATATATATGCCTAATGTGGTGTTAATTTTTTCAGTTTATTCGTAGAGGACTTACTCGTTCAAATGTGAAGTTTGATAATTTAACCAAACTTGAACTCCTATTGAACTTCAAAAAGTTTCATGTTTCTAATATTGGGTGCGAGAATGATGAAGCGCTTTCTCGTTTTCTTTCCGGCTGTCCGTCACTTGAGGAGTTGAATATGGAATTCACATCTGTGGAAGAGGGACCACTTTGTTATTATTATACGGGCTGCATAAATATATCATCACCTACAATAAACACGCTGAAGCTCGATCTTGACGATTTGACCTGTCCATCTAGAAATAGATATAGGATGATAATAAATGCCCCGGCCCTTAGGTATCTCCAAGTGTATGGCTATGACTTGGAGTGTATAACAATTCCTATAACCATGATATCCTTAGTTGAGGCAGATATCAGCTTACAAAATTATTGCTTGGCAAATCTCGAAACGAATTACGATTCCACGGTGATGGAGAAGCTTCTTCATTCTCTGTGTTATGTAAAGTGCCTAAAGATATCAGGTTGGGAATTTGTGGAGGTATGTTTTGATTCTTCAATCTCTTTGGCCCTCCTCTCAATTATTTTTTGGCTTTGTTGTTATATGTATGCCTAATGTGGTTTTGATCTTTTCAGTTTGTTCGTAGAGGACTTGCTTGTTCAACTGTAAAGTTTGATAATTTAACAAAACTTGAAGTCCAATGGCACTTCGATGGGAGTTTGCTTGTAAAGTTCCTTAAAGTTGCTGATAATCTTCAAGTCCTTATTGTAAGTGGAGTTTATATCGTTGATGCAATTAAATTTGTCTTTAGCCGTTTCTTGTTATTCTTACTGCAATAGCTCTTTTATTTGTTTTACTGATTTTGTTATGCTCCTTTCAGTGTGAACGGGTTTATTTGGAGAAGGGATATTTGTGTCCGGAGGCTGAACAAGTGCCTAAATGCTTATTATCATGTCTAAGAACTATAACTTTTAAGTCGATGTACTTCAGCGAGTATGAATTTGACATGGTAAGATATCTTTTGGGGAATTCTCGAGTATTGGAGAGGATGGAACTATTTACCTCACCTTATGGATGCCATGATCTGGAAACGAAATCCCAAGCGCTTAAAAGAATTTCATTGTTTGAGCGAGGATCCAGCGCATGTCAGCTTGCCATCCTTCCAAATTGCTGAGTGATTGGCCTGAGGTCTTATTATGTAGTTTTAAGTACTTATGTCTGCATTCGACAATTGAATGTTCCTCAAGTTCTGTAGAAACTATTTTGACTTGCTTATGTTTCCTGCAATTGTGAGACGATGAAAATATCGGGTATTCAACTTGATGATGATTCATAAACTCTGAAATGTTATGTTCAGTGTTGATCAAGAAACAAAAAACACGTCTTTCCTTAAAGTCTCAGGTTTCCCACTCCTTGCCTCCTCTTTTTTTTTTTTGTCCTATCTATATATAGTTAATATGTGTTAATAAACATTTTATATTTGATATGTGTAAAATTAATATGTGTAAAAATATAAATACAAGTTTTTGTTTTAAAATTTTAAATATTCTTACAAAATAACATTGTTGTTTTTATTTAAAATGATACACTTCACCAGTCAAGATTCGACGATATTATATTATAACATTTTTAGTATTTATACTATATAATAAGCTTGATAGATAAATTTATTGTTTTCCAATTCTAATTGATAAATATTTAAATTTTTATTGATAGAGATCAGATAGATATAATTATTTTAATTTATATATATAATATGAATGTCAAATTATACATTGTCAAAATATGACTAATTTAAGTTATCATATATAAAAAATGATAATATATACAAATGGTATTAACTTTTAAAATATATTTACAATTTAAGTTACCAAATCGTTAGTTCTGAATAAAGATCCATATTTATATGGACTATTACAAATCCTTAAAAATTAACATATAGAATTACAAAACGTCGGAAATTGACAATGAAAAACTCTACATTTATATATAAGAACATAATCTATAAAAACATCTTTATAAAATAACCACAAATGCAACACTAACATCAAACACATATTTACTTAAATAAAGATGCCATCAAACAAGTTCTCCTTAGGAGAATTAGGGAAAAATTAGTGAAGTTCACAAAATTTCAGTAAAGAAAAATGGGCCAAACACACAATTGGATTATTGGAGAACAATCATCCCCAAGAATTAATCAAATTCCAACACAAAACAAATCCAGAAATCAAATTCCAATAACTAAACAAAAGCCAGAGAACATTCGATAAAACTTTCGAGCAACATAAACAAACCAACCGTCACTCAAGACATTAAAATCAAAGAACAGCAATATAGACCTTGCAGGGCGAGGGCGAGAGGGCAAGAGAGTGTCGCGTTCTTTTTGTTTATGAAGAGTTTGAATTGGAGGCCTAATGAGGATGAGTTTAGATAGAAGTTGGACGGAAAGTGAAAAAGATATACTAATAATTTTGGTCATTTATGTAATTTGCATTTATGTTTATTATACTTATTTTTTTATATAGACAAAATATGTTCTCGTCATTTCGACCAATTCCCTCGCTCTTCTTCTTTCACGTAGAGGTCCCACCCAATACCTCCATTAGAGCTCACAGCTTTTTTGACGCGCATTTGCATCTTCTGATCACAAACCCTCAGATAGATAGATAGATAGATAGATAGATAGATAGATAGAGATATTAAAAAAACGTTTTTTTTAAGAAAAAAAAGTAGAAAGAGGAGAAATGGCAGTGCGAGCTGGGGTTTTGAAGGCAGCTCTTGGTTTAATGGCGATTTTCTTGGCCGCGTATATAGTGGGCCCCCCTCTGTATTGGCACTTAATGGAAGGGTTGGCTTCTGCCTCGACATCTTGCCCGCCCTGCAACTGCGACTGTGATTCGGTGCCCCTTCTCTCCATTCCCCAAGGTACAATGTTAACCCTATATTAGATCTGTTCTAAGGTTCATTTCTACGTTAATTATCTTGGGATCGCGATCGCTATGCTTGGAATCTCGATTTGGGTGCGGTTCTTTGTTGTTCTGTTTGATGTGTGTGTGAGTTTCTATCATCGATATGGTTTTAATCGGAGTTTGCTCGTGCAAAGGACCTTTCTTTCACACAGACATGGTGATAAGTTTGAGTGATTTTATAGTTTTTTTCTTCTTTCTTTTTTTTTTCGTTTTTAGATGGTTTGATTGTAGTGTGATTTGATAAAGAGGTGGATTTTGGCTCCCTTTTGTTGTTTATTTCCCTCAATGGGGTATATGCAATTGTGGTGTTCGTTTGTTTGTATTAGTTACGGAGATGCATTTTATGTCGAAATATTCTGAGCTTCTTGCATGAAGATTGCTTAATTGATGGAAATATTGAATATTTGAGCATTTTGCTCTGATAGTTATGTAACTAAAGCCTATCTGTGTAGTTTTAAGTGACTTCACAAACCTGGCATTTCTGTGAGCTTTTAAACTTGGCTTCTCATTGCTGCCATAATTGGTTCACGCATGCTATTTGATTACAAAATCTCATAATAAGAGTATAGCAACCATCAAAATTCAGGTCATTAATGAAAAATAATTCCAAAATGCCAAGCAAAATGCAGCTGGTCTGTGACTTAACACAATGTCTTTTACTTTCGCTAGTTATGTTTATCTGGATGNGTTATAATTATTGCTGTTTGTCTTTCTTTGCAGGACTGAATAATTCTTCATTTGCGGGTAAGAACATATGCTTTGTTTGAATTAGTTTATATATATCTCATATTATCTATTTCTGTTTATGATCTTGCATCATTCTTCGCATGTTGGTAGTTTGCATATTGCAACAAAGCTGAATGAAACCTGGCCGAGTTTTTTCCCCAAAGCAGTCTGATAAAATACTTAACCAAGCATTTTGCAGTTAATTTATATATTTGTATCCATTTTCTAGATCTTCATTATGCACTACTAGCTAAAAATCTTTATAATTTATTTTCAAAATAAAAATGCGACAGAATGTAGTTTGTTATTTTTTCCTTTCCATTTTGATCATCATTAATATTTGATCTTGTTGGCTAGTGGGATTTAACGGCTTGTTGATTGATTGAATGAACAATTAAATTGGAAGGGAAGTCACCATGCAGCATATATAGTCGTTTAACAAACAATTGGAATATGAATGTGCAGTTTGAGATCAAGAAAATGTATTTACCTCAAGTTAATTTAAACAGGAACATGAACATTAGGCAAAACAAAATTGAATATTAAAAAAAGGTAGAACAACAATTGAAAGATTGATCATCGGTGAAAAAGTCTCCATGATGGTTGGTAATTCACATGCATTTTCCATCAAGGAAAAAAAAGTCCATATTTACTTTTTATTTTTCTTCAGTATTTTGTTTACATTGTGTTTATGTGCCTGTGTTGTTTTACTATTCTGGTCTGGATTTCCTTAACGCTATGTTGTCACGACTATTTTTCTAGTTCAGTTATGCACATTATTAGAAAAGCCTTTTAAATTTATTTTTTTTTATGCAAAACGGCTGATAATTTTCGTGTATTGTGAAATATTCCGTGCTGCATGATGAAATTGCTTAGTTTTTAGTACGACAAAGTATTTACATTTACACATCTCTGAATACAGTTCTCAATTTGTGTGCCTTTCCCTTTTTNCGAAAGATTGCGCGAAGCACGATCCAGATATGAATGAGAACACCCAGAAGAACTTTGTAAACCTATTGTCCGATGAACTAAAGCTTCGAGAAGCTGAGGCTTTGGATCATCAGCAGCGTGCTGACAAGGCACTGCTTGAGGCTAAAAAGATGACTTCCCAATATCAGAAAGAAGCCGACAAGTGTAATTCCGGAATGGAAACGTGTGAGGAGGCAAGAGAAAAATCAGAAGCTGCTTTATTAGCACAAAAACAGTTAACGGCTTTGTGGGAGTCGAGGGCACGCCAGCGAGGCTGGAAAGAAGAAAATGCGAGGGCGTCATCCTAGTCACCTTATTAACACACGTGCATTTTGTTAGAAATTTTACCAAAACTTCATATAATATAGTTCCTTCTGATTGAAAGGGAATTACAAGTTATCAGTATCTGGTGTTTTTTAGCTGAAAGTGAGCATCAGATCTACATCTTGAACAAGATTGTGCATTTTTTTTTTTATTTTTTTATTTTTTTATTTTTTTGTGTGTGTAGAGGTAACATTTTTGCCATTATAATCATCAATAATTTGTTGGAATCCAGTTATGCAAGGAAAAGTTGCGATTTCCAGATTTTGTCAATTAAACAATTTGTTCTTAGTACGAAGAAGATATATTTTACTGCTGATTCTTGTTGATGAAAAATATCAACTTCCGCTTTTTATACAGAGAGAAAGGAATCGCGATGCGAAACTTGCATGATGATGGAATCCCTCGATGCACCTGGCTCGATCGGTTAGTCCAAACTAAATTCTCATTGTCCATTGAATAAATTCAATCAATGCATGATATATATTTTCATAGTTTGATAAAATGTCCCCTATCAATGACTGGAGACAAAAAAAGAAACTTGACTTATTCTTATGTTCTTCAGTTCTTCATGTCTGAATCTTGATTATTTTTCAAAGTAATAACACTCAGAACAATATGCAAATACATACATAACCTACTATTACC